CCCCAAAACCCCAAAACCCCAAAACCCCAAAAGTAAACATTAGAATTGAATGTCAATAATAAGTTGTATTAGATAAATAAATAATCATTAATTAGTTTTATCCTTAAGAATCGATGCTTAATCATTAAAGTGTGTTCCAGACATTCTTCAGCTATTTCTTACCCTCATCATTAAGCCATAGATTAAGGGAATCCATTAAGAAATATGGGTTATCCTCCCACTTAGTTTGAATCTTAGCTCTACTATCAATTTCAAAAGCCTTCAACTGTCCAATAATCTTTATGACTTTGGCAGAAATATTTCCTTTTTCCAGCACTTCCTTAGGTGCACTAATAAAGAATTTCCTGAGAGCTCTTAATTAATCCAACATCTAGCCATCCAAAAGCATATATGCTACATATGAGTAGTACTCCTCTTCATTTATAGTGTCCTTGATTGAAGACAAAGCAACCTACTGTATATTCAATGGCCATCTCTGGTTTCCATAGTAGACTCTAACATATACCATCACTTAATCTTTGTCTTAATCGTACTAAATCAATTGGGAAAGCTACTGTTACTGACTCTTTTTATCATGCGACTTAATATCCTTAATAAGCATTGCCTTAGCCATTCTCAGGTCAATTTGATTTGCCTAATTGTTGTTTTCTTCAGTAATGGGCTTAGATGTTTAAAGTAGTACATGACTTGATAGATTATACATCCAGTTGAGGTTATCAATCTTAGTCGCTCCCTTAAGATAGTACTTCATCTTACCTGTCTCTGGACTCTCTATAGCATATATCTCCTGATATACGATGAACTCTGGCTTCTCTTTGTATAAAGGTGAGAAGGGGTGCAGACTTAGCTTCTCTTTAGATTCTTAGCTCTCATAGACTGCCTTCATCTTGTTGGTCTGTTTAATTTCAATACCTTTAGCATCGAATAAGGGGCATTTCCTAGCTAGATTCTCGCAAAGACCAGATATTATGATTTGCTAGAGAATCTACTCTTCGCTTGAAGTTGGCATTGCAATCTAGTCTGAGGCTAGGTTGTACTGTTTATTAGACTCAAATCCTTCTACTTGCTAGAAAAAGATACGTTAAAGTTGAAGACACAAGAAATGGACTTCTTTCATCGCCTTGTCTTGCAGTTTATTATCCTTGCAAAATTGCTGCAATCTCTTTTCATAGCTAGCAAAACCATTCTTATATCCGACATTGGTATCATCTTGATTTTACTTAGAATTGATAAACGTGAAATAGTCAGCCATCAATTTAGCATACATTAGAAGGTCACTCTTGTCACTCTACCACTTCGATCTCTGCTCTTTAATCTGCTAAATCTGTAGTTTCCTTTTTTCTCTGATTAATTTTCCAAGATGCTTCTGTCTGTCTTCTTTTTTCTAGACATCTATTGAAGTAACAAGGTCTCTATCTTGATTTAACTACTTATCGTCCTCGTCACTTTAATCATTAACTATGTCTGTCTCCTTGAAATCCATAGGCACAAATATTTCAGCTACACTCATGCAGGCTACAATCATTATAGCATATCTCAACAGACCATACTTGGCACTTACAACTAGCATTTTAGCGTATTTGGGCGATATGGGAATCTTGGACAGGAGCAGTCCTAGATCATTAATTGTAGTTGGATCTTTGGCCCAGGTCTAAAAGGTATCTCTTCCACTTTAAATGAAATCTTCAATTTCCATTTGCTTAGTATTAATCAGTTGCTTCTGATCAATATCTAAGGCACCCAAAATACACAACTACCTAATTGCTGCCTTTATAGCGATAGTAGGTGGCTTTGTTACATAAGGAAATCTTATAAGATCCTCAACACCCATAGACTTCAGTTAGAGTAATGTCTGTTCTAAAGGAGTTTTCATAATCTCAGGTTCACTGTACTTCTCTAACTTAGAAAACAAGGCACTTGAATACAGTCTATAGCAATGACCTGGACCGGTTCTACCTGCTCTTCCAGCTCTTTATTCAGCTGATGCTTAGGAGATCCACTCAACTCTGAACTGTGAAAGCTATAGTCTCTTATCAAATATTTTCTCTTTAGCTCTTCCAGTATCTACCACATATCTGATATTAGGAATGGTAACTGATGTCTCAGCCACGTTTGTTGAAACTACAATCAATCTATGGCCTGGCTTAGGATTTTAAAAGACCTTATACTGCTTGTCTGGATTTAACTAAGAATAGAGTGGCATGACTTAAACCTTCAAATTTTCCTTTTCTTCATGATCATACATGCTATAATCTTCAAATAACTCTTCAGACTACTAAGATTCAGATCTTTATCTCTTTTATCCACTTATCTTATCTATATTCTTGTTTAGTTCCATTTGAATTCTTCTGCAAAGATACATAATCTCCTTTTTACCAGTTACAAACACAAGAATACCACCAGAAGGAAGATTCTTATGTATTTTGACTATCTTTCTATAAGCCTCTTCAATGTAATCATCCTTAGTCACTTTATTATAATGCATGCTAACTGGATACTATCTTGCTTCTACCTTTATAACTTAGGGAATTTTTTCAGGGAACAATCTTTTGTTTTCTCTGAAGTCTTCGACTCTAAGTGTGGCACTCATGATCACTAATCTTAAAGGAGTGGTCTCATATTTATCCTGCTCTCTTTCCTTAAAAGCTAAATCACATCTGGCTTAAGCAATCCTAGTCAATAAACTGACGAGTATATCTGAGTTAAGACTTCTTTCATGAGCCTCATCGATTATTATTACAGAGTAGTGCTTGAGTAGAAAATCCTGCTCAATTTCCTTAAGAAGGATTCCGTCTGTCATAAACTTAATGGCGGTCTTTTCTCTGGAGAAGAATTCAGAGTCATATCTGATTTAATAACCAACTTCTTCACCTAGTATCTTGCCGATCTCATCAGAGACACGCTTTGCTAAACTTACAGCGGCCACCCTTCTTGGCTGAGTTATACCAACAAGCAGCTTGCCATGGGAGTTTCTGTATTTCCAACTATTATGCATATTAGAGTTTAGAATAAACTGAGGAATTTGCGTAGATTTACCACTTCCTGTCTCTCCGCAGACTATGGTCACTATCTAGTTTTCTACACTCTCCATTATTTCTCTTTCATGATATAAAATAGGCAGTTGGTTTTCCTTTTTATTGTCTTTATCATCTGTTTTAAATGTTTCTATTTCATCTAACTTCTTGCTGCTATCTTGAGTGAAATGCAATTTATCCTTTTTGTTTATTAATGTCAGCTTTTTATCATAATCCTTCATCTCCCGCTTCTACTCTTCGTCTGAATCAACCTAGTTCTTATCGATATCTTCCTAGATCTATCTCTTAAGCTGCCTAATCACATCCTTCATATTTTGAAAATCTTCCTCTACTTTCTACTTCACCTAAGTATCAATTATTGGCTTTGAATTGGCATTGATAATTTCACTCTGATACACCTCTACTTCTTCAATCTCCTCTTCATTCTATTCAATCTCTTGATTTTAAGAGGGCTTTCTATCCATTGATGGCTTTCGATCCTTTTGCCCTAATAGTCTGGAACTCTTGAGCTTGTCATAATCAGAGACTTTTATGTCATCCTTATGATCTGAGAGACTCTGCAAAATATTCTTCATTTTGTCTTGCTTCTGCTTCTTTTCAAGTAGCTTTCTCAACTTTTTCTTCTCTCTTTCTTTTTGCTTGGCTGATGTCTTTTTCAAATCTCCTGATCCAGTCTTCTTAACAGTTATGAGCTCCTTCATGTTCGTCTATACACAAATTAATTCACATTGAAAATCCTTACCACCCCGAGCTCCTTCATTAATTCCTTGCTGAGCATTTTATGTATTAATATGTATTTATTATTACCTCTCATTCATCATTATTTACTATGCTTGGGGTTTTGGGGTTTTGGGGTTATGGGG